CTGTAGAGGAAGCACTTACTCTGGCACCGGGCAGACCGGGCTCTCCAGGGCGGCCGGGGTCACCGCTGGCACCTTTGGGACCGCTGGCTCCGGAGGGTCCACGCTCACCGGGGGCTCCCTGTATTATGAGGAAGAGTGTGAATCACAAGTCAAACACAGAGGACGGGAAACATCTCGAGTTCAGAGGAGATGTGTTTCTCTTTTAGTAGGATGAACAAATTTCATTGACCTGCAGGAGATGAGAAGATTAAATTCAGACAGATTAATTGTGATATAAATGAAATAATATTTAATGCGATGTTGGCTTTGGTGATTTGGGACTGTAGGTCAGTGTGCGTGATGGGTTTGTGAGCTATGCTGCCATCTTGTGGGAGGCTGCGTGCATCACTGCTGCCTAAAGCGTGCAGGATGAAGTCAAAGGGAAATAAGTTCTGACAAATGGCACTTTTTTTTACTCTTCAAGGAAAATAACATTTTTATTATGACCTTCAATAATTTGTGAATTCAGAGTCAACCCCAAAGACTCATTAACCGCATGGTTTTAAATCTGCCAGCTGATTTGTGCAATTTAACTTGATTTAAAAAATATTTTGAGTGAATGAGGGGAAAAATGATTTCTCAGAGAAGTCATCACGGAGACCAGAGTCAATTTACGCTCATTAAAATGCTTTGTGGAAATCAGCTCAGCTGCTTTTTTCATATACATCGTGTTTTACCATTTACAGTGTAGCCAAATATGTGCAGATTATTTATCTTTTTAAAACTTTTCTGACAAAAATATATTTTGGAACTTTAAACGATTTATACATTCATGAAAAACAAACAGCTAAACTGAGGAATAATCCTCTTCAACAGTTTCAGCAGTTTTAGCTTTTACAACCAAGAAAATAAAATATAGATATGAATATCTCAGTTACACATGTTTTCAAGGTTTTCTGATGGCTTCTAGTCTACGTTTGAAGTACTATTATTTCAAAGTATGCTGAACTATTTTTGTATTCTGAAGCGTAAGTTCGCCAATTATTAACAAGCTTATATCATCACCATCAGACTGGAAATGCTTTTATCGCTCAGTGAAGTAAATATTACTCCCTCCATGCTGCATGTCAAAAATCTCTACACTAACCTACACTAAGATAATAATAATAATAATAATAATAATAATAATAATAATGACATCATGACACAAACATCTTTTTAGCCTCCGGACTAAGACCACCAGGTACCGGAACAGCTTCTTCCCCACAGCTGTCAGACTCCTGAACTCTGCCTCCTGACATCTGACTAGGGCTGCACGATTAATCGTTAGAAAATCGCGATCTCGATTCATACTTATGTGCGATCTCATTTCCAAATGACAA